GTGATCCTCCTGTTTTCAGCCTCTCCACCGCTGAGATTATAGGGCATGCACCACCACTCCTAGACTCGTTCAATGGCTCAATGTGCCCAGGGACAGGGCCAGCACAGAATGCTGTACCTGGGATGTAACCCCAGTCCCTCAGCTTGCCTAAATAGGCTCTTAGTCTGCTGAGTTTTCTACTGGACCTCATTTCTTTACTATGTAGAATTTGTGTAGATGTTTCTGATATATGAACTTATTCAATAAAAAGTTGTAGAAGTCAAATATGCTTCTCAAGTCTTTGTCCGAAGAGTGGAACTGTTGAATTTTCTTTTGGTAAAAGACAATCATCTATTTTAATCTTATATGCAAACCACTAGAAAACACAGTAGAAGAGTCGTTTCAGATGCACTGAGCTATCTGCAGTATAAAATTGCCCTTATATATAATACCCTAGGAAATACAAGAAAAGGACTTAAGCAAGCAACATTATTTTCATGTGATTACAGGTTCACCTTTTCAGGGGCTTCCTAGGTCATTTAAGTAGATCCTTCAATAGACAAGGTGGTTATATTGTTAGCTGGAGCTGGGGAATATTTATTAGAACCTGCTGTTGTACAGGTGTCTTTAGTCTTGATATGATTTCCAAAGTGTCAATTTAAACTTTTCTTATCATATAGCCATCAGAAATGAAAACAAACCACCATTTAACTGATGTTTCATTTTCTGAACTGCCAATGTTGACCTGACCTACACTGTATCTTGACAAGAAGGACAGATTAGCTCTCAGGGGGCTCAGCCTTGAAGATTTCCCCTCTCTCTTTTAGGCATCTGTGGCATTTTTCTGGCTTTAGTAACTTTACACATCTAGTCACTAATCCCTTCTGAAGCAGATCCATTTCATCTTCTCAAGCCAAAGCACTAAATTTTATTTCCACTGGAATAAAGAAAAAGGAAGAAGTTCTCCTATTCCTCAAGATCAAAATAAATATCTTGCCATTTCCAGCTTTTGGTTCCTATTTAGACAGGATTGTGATTTGCGGAGCATAGAAATGCTAGGCTCAGCAAGTAGGATATTGTTCTGCAAGCTACCTGACTTTGATGTTCAGGATAAGAGAGTATAGATTCACATTTGTTTCTTTATAATCATGGGTATAATTTTCTATAACTATCTTTCCTCTACAAAAAAGCAATGTTCCACCTTCAGGTATTGGGTGTTTATGCCTGCAATTTGGATTTACACATTCATTGTTATTGGCAAAAATGTTCTGATTCTCCTGGCACTGGGCACAGGGCAGGCTCTTTCTTGTTGAGACCATGTAGGTGTGGCTGCCTGGGATAACACAACTCTAAGGTTCTGTCCTCCAGTCACAAGTGCCCAAGCAACAATCACACCCAAATATTAAAGTGATCATTCAGAGCTGGCGCTGTCCTGTTTTGAAAAAAAATGCAGCAATCAGGGATAAGAGAGGAAGCCCAGATGCTTTGCTGAGAGATAAAAAAGGAGAGAAAAAAAATCAAAGCAGTGTAGGTCATCCAAGAGCCAAGCAAAGTCCTTGTAAAACCTCTAAGAGAAGGTGAGACTGGGGAAATTGTTTTAGGGCAATATTTGTTACAAAGAGAACAATTAGGATGAAGGAAATTCCCAAGTTGTAATGTGACCTAGATCCTTCAGCAAAGCTACTGCTCCATAAAGCTGTTGCCAAGTGCTATTTTAATCAAAGCCAGCTTTTGCTGGAGCTCTGTCCTGAGAATGTAGTTATTTCTACCTTGAGCTCTGTGACAGAGAACCAGTGAGGAACACAGAGTAATATTGGCAACATGTAACTGGATGCTCAGTAGTTCCTGTTCAAATTGTGAAAAGTTACTTGTTTTTTGTTGCCATTGGTATTCTCTTTCTGTCTATAAAAACAGAATACATCCTGGAGTTGGGCTCTTATAACACAACTGCTTCCCACAGATATGCTACTATATCTCATACATTTCAATGATTTCACATACTTTGCCTCATCTCCCTCAAAAATCTTTAGTCACTGTAGCTCTTAAGTTACCAGATCATATTTGCAGATACCATAATTTACATATTATACAAGTCAAGGATGCTAGAATAAACATGTTTAAGTAGAAAAGAAAATGGAATAAGTGAATAGAGTGAACAGAACAAAAGGCACATGTAGCATTTTCAACTCAGACAGAGACCTCACATCCAACGCTGGATCTATCCGGACTCACTGCATTTACAGCTATTTTATTTGCACTGTAGGGAAATACCGAGGACATAGGAAATTACTCATGTGTAATCAAAACCCCACATGGTCAGTTTCCATTGGAGGATTTGTCCAGAAAATCAACAAATTATTTAAAGTACTGCCTGAACTTTGCCACTGAGCAACTCTAAGAAATGTTTAAGCTTTTAAATTTCATGAGTACAAGTGCATATGAATCTATCATAGCTAATTGTATGTGTCAACTTGCCTGGGTCAGAATGCCTAGATATTTGGTCACATGCTATATTCTAGCAGGTTTTCTTTTCTTTTTTTTTTTTTTTTTGAGAATGTTGCATTTGATAAAGCAGATGAAACTCTGTAATGTGAAAGGATCACAATCTATCAGCTCAAGTTCTGAGTAAGGCAGGAGGCTGACCCTCTGCCCTGAGAGACAATCCTCCTCCTCAGAGCCTCTAACCTGGACTATCTGCTTATCCCGCCCACAGTACCTACACTGGAATATCAGGTTTTCTTGGTTTGACTACCTGTCAATCTTGGGCTTGAACTGGGAGACTGTCTTTGCAGATTTGGACTTGCCAAGTTTCATAATTGCAGGAGCTGATTTTTCACAAGTACCTATATCTCTCCCTGAAGTGTCTCTTTCCCTGTAGCCCATTGATTCTTTCTTTGGGAAGCCAGACTAGTATGTGATCTCAGATTTTTAAGTGAGATCCACACTTGCCAATACTTTCAGTGTTGTTAATTCTTTTCAGTCCTAGGCTAACTTTTTGCCCTATTGATGAGTATGTATATGTCATAAGTAGGAAACAATGATATTCACAAACTTGATAGCTGCTCTTTCTTACACTTAGAGCTCGCCATCATATGTCTTCAGACTTCTCTCAGGCTTTTAGTCAATTCAGGATGAAGGCTGATATCCATAGATTTTCCTCAAGTGCAGTGTATGGTAGATAGCTATGTTTATTACTATGATTATCTAAAATTCAACCTGTAGTCAAATAGTTATATTGCCATCCTTCTTTATGACATATAAAATTGACAGTCCTAACTGTATCACTTAAAGACATGGCCATAACATAAAAAAAAAGAATTCACATCTCAGAGGTATGTTTCATAAAGTATCTAGTGGTATTCAAAAGTTGTCAGAACCCATTTTCTTAAATGTCTTGCTATTGAGTTTGCCTTCTGTTTCATTTAGGAAGGAGGAAGTCATTTTGAAATGGCAAATGGCTGCGATATATTTATTGGAGCACACATTCATTTCACCACTGAAACTGATGACTGTGTTGACTTCCATCACAAGCCCTTGGACTGGGTCTGACACAAGCAGAGTTCTTAGTACTTACAGTAGCAAAAAAGGGGACCATGGCTGCCTAGTTAGGTGATTGTTTCAATGTATTAACCATTTTCAATGATGTATTCACCACTCCAATTTATTCTGAAAAGGCAGACATTAGCATGTGCTTTTTTTGAGAGAATACAGTCATATAAATACACACACACACACACACACACACACACACACACACACAAATAAAACCTATAGAGCTCTTTCATCTATGTTGTTATCTTCTCCAATACAAAGTGGCTCACATTCCTGAAGAGATCCTAGCCTAATGAACTACAGTACTTTCACTGGATATAACCCAGGTGTTTTTCATGAAGGCAGCCTAGTTCTAGAGTATATGAATGTTCTCAGTCCCTGCTTTACAGACTTAGGCAAAATCCACACAACTTAGCTCGTCCACATCAATGACTGGAACACCAATCGACTGAATACCTACATAATGCCATGATAGATTCAGACAAACTTCACTATGAAATTGATAGTCCTAACTGTATCACTTAAAGACATGGCTATAATATTACACATTAAAAATTACACACTAAAAATTCACATCTCAGAGGTATGTTTCATCAATAATCCAGTTTATACTTGACTAAATCCCCAACTGATGATTGCTCTTGGTTTTTACAATTAAGAATGTTAAGTGACTTGGCCAAGTGCACAAAGCAAATAACAGACAAAACTAAATTAAAATCTCTCTCTCTTTGATCTTCATTTTTCTATGACAGGTAGATAGTTGGTTAGAAATCAGAACTGTGTGACTTCAGGAATAAGGAAAGGATTGAAAGTTAAGAAATGAACATGCCATTTCCTCTCCTGACAGACCAGTGGCACATAAAGCCACCTCTCTCTTCAGGGCCATCTTGTACCCCAACCGTGAAGTTTGTGTAGTATAGGTATAATACATGCATCCTACCAAAGAGTTCTAAATTATAAAAATGTATTAAATCATTTATAATACTGAAATTTAGCCAGGTATGACAGTGTATGCCTGTAATACCAGCACTCTGGAGGTGGAGGTAGGAGGACTGTTGTTAGCTCTAGGCTACAAAGCAAGCTGGGCTGGACTACAAAGGGAGCTCAAGCCCAGCCTGAACTGTATAGTGAGACCCTGTTTCCAAATATATATCAAACTTGTTGGGAGGACTATAAGCCATAGTGATCAGTATCAGAATTTTTCCAAATATAAAGTGGTAGCTCCTAAGAGTTCAATGACTGTTTGATACTAGTCAAATATTACTTGATGAGATTAAATTACTTGGAATTACCCCATTTTTCCTAGAAAGATATTTAATTACTTTTGTGTACTTTCTATGCTTTTCTTTTTTGTTTCTGGTTTTCTAGTGACTTATTTAACCCAATTCATGGTAGTGGCATTATTTCTTGAAATAGAAATGTATGCACACATTGTGAACAGACAGTAAGATGCTACACAGAAGTATTACCTAGAATGCAGAGTCCATCTGTGCAGTTTTCTGATTCCTGGCTGGGTCCTTCACAGAATTTGCCCCCATTCCTTGGGGGTGGCGCTGTGCACTCTCGGATCCTGAGACGCTCGCACTCTAGGCTGCAGACTGACCACTCACTCCACACTTCCCAGCTCCCATCCACTTCAAAGGGAAACAACAGAAACCACCATGAGAGGGATTCAAGCAGCGGGTAGGAGTCACATCCCAGCTCCACTGATGTCTTTATGATCAGTTTTAAAGAAACCACCTCAAGGGAATAAAAATACTAGTTCACAATACCATGTCTTCTCTGCCTGGGTTCATTCCTAAGCAAAGCAGTGGTGTACATCTCTTGCTCTTTTAGGATGAGACCACTATTGAATTTAGGCAAGCTTTCGAATGACCAGTAATATTGGGTTGGCTAATAATGTCATCCTCTATTCTTTCCTAATCTTCCAGGCTTAAGTACATCTGAAACAGACTGACAAACTCTCATCAGAAGCCACTGGTCATTAATCACTGCCTTGGGGGTTTACAGTTTAGAATAGGGGGTAAATTGAACTATTTTAAAGCCTTAGGAGCCCCTAAACAATAAGAAGCTAACTGCAAATATAATGACAGTATTAAACTAAAACAGGTCAGTCAAACCCCAAGATGCCAGGATGTACATAAATAGAACTTCTTGGGTCATGGATTGCTGCAGTATGTAGAAAGGAACAAACTGAACTTAATTCCATTAAAGATTAACTCTAGAGATTAGGGCAGATGTTCAAGGCAATTGCCCTGTTACCTCACAGGAATAACCTAACCATGCTTATGTGGGTTAACATATTGCAATTTTTAAAATGATTAGCCAAGAAAAATATAATACAAAAATTAGTGAACTGAATTCAAAATATCTGAGTTCTTGTCTTGGTTATATCAACCTATCAGCTGAGGAACTCTGGGAGGTCACCAAATCATATGGCCTCACTGTAGCACTTCTGTTACCTGAGAGTAAAACAACTCACAACACAGAGTTAAATGACATTATATGTGTAAAAATGTCCTGTGCAATACCTGGCACATAGTAAGCACTCAATAAATATTCATTGAATAGGAATCAAAATGAAACTCCAAGAATATACTTCTGGTTAGAGCCTCACCTTAGCTTTAAGGGGAACTAAATTTGAAATTTTAGAAGACATGAGGCTCTAGGCCAGTGTCCTTGGAGTTAATGTTCTGTAGTGCATGAGAGATGCAGGATCAATTTATTTCTCAGTGGGAGGATATGCTTTCCATAAAGAAAGCCATCTTCCATCTCATCTATTTCTCATTGTATAAATTGGGTTACAGCCAGGGAAAGATGAACAAATGAATTGATAGGAGGCATTTTTGGTAAATGAAGTCTCATTCTGTTCAGAAAGGAAGGCAAGCAGAGGCCAAATGTAAAATACAGACTGCTGTGACAGTGTACAGTTTCTTCCAGTTATACTATAAACAAATAAAAAGCTGCAACTGACAAGGGGTCAAGTTTTTGGTTTCTGCCCTTTTGTATTTGAAGATGTCTCACCTAATGCCTGTTACTATTTATTATGCAAATATATTTCATAAAGCAGACAAACTGAACGACAGATGGTGTGGTTTAACCCAACCAAGTACTATTAGTATAAAAACTACTTCAAAGCATTTGGATTATTGGTAATCATTGTTCAGTGTCATCTGAGTGTTAAAAAACAAAAACCGAAAAATTACACCCTAATACATTGTGCAGGCATTTCACATTTTGGCTACTACACTGAGATCAACATCAGCACCCTGGACAGAGACTCAAAGACCTGGGAAGAGGCTGCCTTTAGAAAGGAAGGTTATATTGATTGCTTCACACCAGCTTAATAGTGGTGGTGGATCAGAAGGGGAAAAGGGAATCTGCGTATATCTCACCAGGACAAAGAGAAGTGCAGGTTATTTTCTGCACTGACATTCCCTCACAAAACGCCCCACCATTGAGAGGAGCTGGGTTGGTGCAGGTCCGGGAACGTTTCTGCCATCCTCTACCACAGCGAACATTGCAGGCTGACCACTCTGTCCAGGAAGACCAGCCTCCATTCACTGAGAGACAAAAGTGGGAGGGGAGAAAACAGGAGAGAGGTTTTTACTGATTGCCTACTATGTGCAAGCCACTGTGCCAGGCGTTGTGAGTTGGGCATCCAGGGATGAAAGGATCATGTGGAGCCCTACTGGCTACTCTGCTGTGAAGCGACAGGGGCCTCATCTTATCTACCCCTTAACCTGCTCTCTGCAAAAGGAAGGACCCAGAGACTTTGCTTTGCAGGGAAATTATGAAAAAGAGGAAGAACTCAACAGCAGATCACTAAAGCACTTGAGAATCCACAGTATAAGAAGAAAATATCAGCATTTGAATTTCTATTACCTTAAGTGCTTCGAAAATAAATCCCAGGGCTCTTGTTGTAAAAAAAGGGATGCCTTTACTTAAAAAGCTGGGAATTTCTTTTATACAATACCTGAGATAGTCAGCAAATAGCAGTGTTTGTTTTTTGATGGATTTCATTATGCCAGCAGAGGAACTAACTGTAGGCAGGACTGGGAAGATGGGGGTGGGTGTTGGATTTGGGGGAAGGGCAAATCAGAAGTTGCCCACCTTGATGCTTTTTAAATATAAACACAAAGGGAAGAAATGAACAAGTCTTCTCTTATTTTTAGAGCACAAAGGGAATGGAAATGTCACCTACTATCTCACAGGAGTCCGAGATTGGATGGAATAGCAAACACTTTAATAGCAATAGGGATGTTTGCTTCCCTGTCATATGGAGGAAGGACAGAGCCCTGCAGTGAATGACTCTCCGTATCCTTTCAGCTCCATGCCTAGAACATCTTAGTAAAATACACATCCTTCTGCTTCTCTGAGATCTGCCCACCCCATTCAGTCATGGCCTTGGAGCCAGGCTTACCATAGACCACCACAGTGGCCGACAGGCTTCTCCTCTTGGCCACTATGTTGGCTGCCATGCAGGTGTAATTCCCTGAGTCGGATAGCCGTGCCTGCCTGATGATCAGGTTGTGGTCAGCCCTGGTGTCGATGTTCTCATCTTGTTCAGAATCAATGGGCTCCTCATTCTTCAGCCATTCCACCTGCAGGAAGAAAAGAATGTTTACAAATGAAGAAAAATGAAAAAAATAAAAGATTTCTGTGGCATTGGAAGGTGAGTAACTCTGATGTCTAGGAGATGGATATATTTAACACATTGTATGATAGCCTTGAACTTTTTCTGGGTTCCACACTTTTTCTTCTTTTGGTTAAGTTTGATCACAGTCAAACTCAAGTTAATAAACTGAAAGCAGGAAAAGAACACAGATATTCTATTAACTTTGACTCATTTTCTAAAACTGCAGAGCAAAAGAGAAAAGACGTGATTGTAATTAGGTCACCTCATTTTATTTCATTACACCACATGATGGTGATGGTGGTGAGGATGATGATATTTCAATAGTTGGTCTAAAATAGACCTCAGAATGATCAAAATATAGATACTAAGCTGGTGTTTTATTCTGGGAGGAAATCATTTTATTGGACAAAGTTATGTCAGTATGTTTGCATTTAAACAAGTTTAATAATGTGAGAATTGTAGACCTAAAATAAATTCAGACCATTGTGTTCTCTGATAATCATTTGTGCCTGTCCTCCAATACCTCAACAGTCATTCAGGCCCTGGCTTAGAAACCTGAAATACTAAGGGTTCAGCCTGTCTTCTGGAGGACTCCATCTCCCCATCTGCTGAGCATAGGCCATTCCTACCTCTCCTCTGTTTCTTAAATTTATTCTAGAGAAACTATTTCTTCGTTTTGCTATCATCTGATTTCTTTCTTTTTTTTTTTTTCAAAGTTTTATTGACAAACAGATAGCAATGAGACAGTTTCAAATCAAATCGGAAGGACAGTTTCAACAAATAATACACTGCATATATTCTTCTTAGTGGTTAATTGTTGTACAAGATGCGGACTTGTGATCCTATTTACAAACACCATTAGAACAAATCATTCTATTCATTAAGAGAATGCAACTATATATCCATCCCAACCTCTTTGAATACACAGATACAAAATGGACATTCATCGGTATACCCCATTTTTTCTAAGTTCCGTTATTGAATATTATAGGTGTGTAAACTCAGCAAAATATTCTAAAAGAGTCCAGTAGCCCATAATAGCATTGGGTCTTATATTTAACTGGCAATGTCAGAAATTATTGACCTGAGTCCCCCACAGCTCAACTTAACAGCATGGCTTTATTTCTTATATTTCGACTTCATACTTTTCTACTGGATGGTTAAGACCAAGGTAAAGCAGGACCTATGCAACAAGAGTTGTAGCTTTTTGGTCTGAGAAGGTCAGTGAAATGCCCTCAGGATTTGTCCTGAGATCCTGTACCTCAGATTATAGAACCTTTATCAGTGCAGCCATGTGGATGAGTCACGGCCATTGCTTGGCCAATGTGCTCTCTGTGAAAGCCTGAGAGAGTGTCTTCTCCCCATGTGACTCTCCTTAGGCACACTCTACGTCATCGATCACTTTCCTCTTTGGCCCCATAATCTTCTTGATCAGAAAATTTGGGACACTACCGAGGTACATGACGTTACAGTACAAGTTCTCATATGTCCTGAGTCTTAATTGACCTTAGAAGGTTAGGGCCAAAATGTTCTACCCTTACTAAGTGTTACAGTTTAGATCTAAAATCTCCCAAAGTCGTCTGGGGTTGGAAGGTGATTGACTCATGGAGACACTGTCCTCACCAGTGGGTTAACCCATTGTTGACTCTAGCTGAATGTGCATTAGATGGGGGTGGGGAGGGTGACTGGGAAAGGTGGGTGGCTGGACTCAAGGTGTGACCTGGTTGGGTGAGTTCCTGTTGCTGGCACTTCCTCTGTTTCTCTGATTCTTAGATGCCTTATGCTGGCTTTGCTTTGGATCCAGATCACCATTGTCTAAGTTCACTATAACCGTGACTCTAGATAAACCTCTTCTCCATTAGGGCTAATGAACTTCACTGGAAGAAGGAAAGCCTCTTTAATAATTGCTGCTGGGAAAACTGCCTTTCCACATGCAAAAGGCAGTTGCATATGCATATCCCACACCATGAATTAAATTAAAACTGAGATGCATCTAAGATCTAAATATTAAGACAGAGACATTTGCATTGAAGAATA